CAATTTCTCCCTTTCTGGTTGGAGCCTATCAAATTTGTTTGAGTAAAGATTCACTTTTTCTTTTTTACTTCAAGAATTTTAAGGTTTAATTATAAAATTTGTCCCCCTACTTTTCAACCTTTTCTTTATTCTTTTTTTAATTTTTTAACTTCAATTACATCTCTCATATGTAATTCTCGATAGCTGAGGAAATAATGTCGTTAATGTGCTTAAAAAAGTGTATATATTTTATTATTTAAAAAAATAGAAAATATCTTTAAGATAAATATGTGTGTCTCGTTCTCTCTTATATGTAAATTTAAGGGGAAAATAAACCTTTACTCTTAAATTTAGTAAGGTTAATCCATTTTCACACTATTTTTTTATTTCATCAAATTGACTCTAGACTTAGATAAGTGTGTTGTAATTGTTACGTTTATCTAGTGATTTTTTCAGAAAAAAAAAAAGAAGAAGGTAAAAGTCATTCGTTTGGACGAGAGTGTATCTTTAATTCATAAGATTGACTATAAAATAAATTTCATAAAACTCACAAATTTGTAGTAAAAATTGATACACTTTTGAGATAAATTTTTTTATTCTTTCCCCTCAATTTAACTTTAATTAATACATCCTTTTTGCATTTTCTATATCATAATTTTCTAATAAATTTCAAAACACCTCTCAATCTAATTTATCAAAATCTACCATGTCTTGTCGAAATTTGTACATGGTATATTTTTTAGGGTATATCAACAGTATAAAAAAAAACAAAAACAAATGGTTTAAAAATATACAAATACGTCTATTGATATTACATTGTATCACATGTACAGATTTTTAAGCAGAATAAGAGAATGCCTGAACTGAACGAAAAAATAGTAAAGGCGACTTTATAGTAGCAGTACTTATTTAATTATAAATCGGGTAAGTTTGGGATGACTAGAGTATTCCGACCTTGAAAATAAATAGGTATTATAAATGGAATATTGAATTGGAAAACTAATAGTAATAATATGGGGAAAAGATCAACAAGTTCATTTGTTGGAGCATTTCAAAAGTGGCCTTAATTTGAATGACTAAAAAATAAAAATAAAATAATAATAATAATAATAAAACCGATTTTGAACAAAGTCAAACCTCAGCCGGGCTGCGGCTTTTACCGTGAACCGTGAGGTCGGCTATCTAATATTAAAAATAACCAAAAAAAAAAAAAATCCGACAGAAATGCTAATAATATTTAATGTGGATAAGCTTTGACTTGTCCCCTTAAAAAAATATTAAAGTATCCAAAACTATTCAAATCAATTTTCATGCCTTTTTTAAATATTTGTTCTTTTTAAAAATTATTTCAAGATTTTAATGCCTTTTTTTTAATATTTGTTCTTTCTAAAAATTATTTAAACTTTGAAATGACCCAGATATCACGTTTGAAAATAGATTTGAATTAATTTTTTGAGTATATATTTATTACTTTTATCTTTTTCTTGTTGTTTATTTTCTTTTGTTATCTGTTTATCACATTATATCAAATTAATTAGTGCTTGTCTAATTAGCTATGTCATTATTTTGTTAACAGTGCCGACAATAGAAATTGATTTTTAATTAATTAATATTGTATGTTTCAATAGTATTCGTAAAAATGTATTTTTAAATATGGTAATTAAAAAATACATCTTAAGTAAATTTGAAAATTATCTTTGATAAAGACGACATCAAAAACAAAAAAACTACTGCAGTTTTACAAATAATTTCAAAATTATCCGTCTGATGGTAAATAGTTTCAAAACTACCATACTGTTACAATTACCTTATAAAATTACAATATTTTAACAATTTCTCTAGAGGAACTACATAGAATAACTCACATTTCATGAAACGTTTTAAAGCTTAGAAATTTCTTAAACATATATATTGAAATTTAAAGATTGATTTCATAATTTAACCGATTATTAATGAGCAACTATGTTGATGCAAAAATCTGTCGAGATACGGAAGATGAGTTGAGAGGTCAGTTGGTCCTTATTTGGGACGTTCCTCAGAGTATTTGTAAGGAGGTAGGTGGCCACTCCGACGCCCAATTCAGTATATTATTCGAGCTCGACAAATTAGCATCAGACAGACTTCGTACCTGGACCCACGGGGGAGTGGTGTATTTATAGCAGTGATCGACGAGGTAGATACACGTTCCATTGGAGTATTCCGCTGCTTGGGCAGGATTCTCTCGAGGGACCTCTGGTCCATGTCATTAATCGATCCATTCGCTATTGCAGTAGGTAAGGTTTGGCGGTTCACCTGTTTGTCTAAGTTGTCGAGGCTGACCTGTTAGGTCACCCTTCCGATTTTGCCCAGGTCGGTCGTGCATAGTATAACCCCCAACAAACTAGATTAAAAACTATCATCAAATAGGATTTTTTTTCATATTATAAATTCTATCAAAACCTATAAATGTTTCTAAAAATATCAATTAAAACAAAAAAAAAGTTTTTTTTTTTTTTGCAAAAGAAAAATAGTGTATTTTCGAATGTACATAGCTATCAAAAGCTATGGAAAGAAAAAAAAGAAATGTACAAAATTTTTATATTATTTTGCCTTGTAAATTACGGAAACACAAAAAGTCACACTCAACAACCACATAAAGTTAAAAAAAAAAAAAACAAGTAAACTTTAAAATTTGAGGCAAATTTAACATTTAAAAATCAAATTCTTATAAAGTAATAACTAAATTATTTTAATATTATTTTTATTATTTATTTATAATTCATAATGCTGAATCACCAACTCTTAAATTGAGCACTATAAATATTTATAATAAAATATTTCATTTTATTGAGTCCTTGTCTTAGCCCACTTGGATTTTACTTACACCACCATGTAGTTTTTTTTTTAATTAATTAATAATACAATTAAATTTTATTGGACGATTATAAGAAACTTCCTAGAAATATCATGACCTTTTTTTCCTAATCAAGAACAATGTCCAAAGTTGATTCTATAGACTTAGTATTAGGAATATTAACAAGATGAAGCAAATTATGAAAATTATTTTTTTCTCACCCATTCGAAAGTATATTTATTTAGAAATTTCGACTTTTAGAAAAATAGTGAGGTATCATAACCGTTGAACTATTCCTATGTTGCTGGAAACGAAACTTCTTAATTAAATTAGTTTATAATTTCTTTATTAGTTTATATATATTTAATATTATGTAGATAGATGTAATACGAACAAAATCGTTATCGTAAATAAATAAAATTATAAGATAAAAGAACACAAATGAAGAGAGGTTTAGGGAATGCATTCTTCATGCCTAAAATTAAAACGAGAAAATCTTTTATTGATTTCTTAATGGATTGTAACAAATAAAACATATATGATAGATTTTCCACATCAACAAATATTTAGCTTTTTTTTTCTGATAAAAATTACATTTTGATTGATTTGTTAACATATGATAACAAATAAAAGACTAAATCTAATTTAAATTATAGATTAAATTACAAATTTTATCTTTATATTTTCAAAATGGTGTCCAATAATAAGATTCTTGAACTTTAAAAATATCTAATATATCCATGGATTTTAAAAAAGTCTAATAAATCATTGAACTTTTAATTCTGCTCTGCTATGTATTAGATATTTTATATGCTTTTAAAAAGTAGAATTCCAAATAAAACTGAAAATTTAGATACCAATGAGACACTTTTTAAAAAAATTTAGGAACTTATAGTTGGAAGTTGAAAGAATAAAATTGTGATTTAATCTTTATTTAAATTATATGTTTAAATACTATTTTGGTCTTATTTTATTGAAGTTGGTTCATTTTGGTCATTGTACTTTTAAAATGTTTTGGTTATTCTATTTCAAGTTTTGTTCATTTTAGTCTATATATATTTTAGAGTATTCATTTTGATATCTGTAATTTTAAAAAAAGTGACGATTTTGGTCTCTATTTGCAAGAATTTTATACATAATAGAAATCATTCAAGGCAAATTTACGATTATATTTCTATAACTTTAGTAAATGTTTATTAAAATATTACTTCTTAAATTATAGAGACTAAAATAGACGTTTTGAGAGTGCTATAAAACATATCATATGGATCATTGAATTTTAAAAAAATCTAGTAAGCACTGAACTTTAAATTTTGCATCTATTATGTCTTCGACCTATTAGATATTTTACCTGCATTTTTTAAAATAAAATGCCAACTAAAATTAAAAATTCATATCATTTTCAAAGTTTAGGGACTTATTAGACACGACTTTAAAATAAGTAAATTTATAATTTAATCTTTATTTAAATTATAGGTTTAAACACTATTTTGATTCTCATATTTTCCAGCTTTAGTTCATTTTAGTCTTTATATTTTCAAAATGCCTATTTTAGTTCATGTACTTTCAACTACGGTTCATTTTAATACATGTACTTTTACGTTTTGATATCTGTACTTTTAAAAAGTGACCATTTTGGTTCCTGTTTACAAAAATTGAACTCAAATTCTATACACAACGGAAACCCTTTCAATGCAAATTTATGGCTACATTTCAATAATTTCAACACGTGAAAAGTCATTAATAAAAATAAATAGATCAAGTAACTACTTTTTAAAAATACATTAACCACAATGAACGTTTCAAAAATATATAAACTAAAATGAACAAAATTTGAAAATATATAGACTAAAATGAACAAAATTTGAAAATATATAGACTAAAATGAACGTTTTAGAGAAAATGAGACAAAATCAAAATTACATCAGCCAATACATGAGACAGAGAGTTTTTTTTTTTTCTTTTTTTTTCTTTCTACTTGAGAAGAATGCCCATTCAAAAGAAGAAATTTCTGGTTAATATACCCAAAAAGAAAAAAATAATAATAATAAAAGGAAAAGAAATAAAAACGTAAATCCAAAGGCTGGTCAACTAATAAAGAAGAAGCGGCTTGAGCTTGAGCTTGAGCTTGACCCAGTCCAATAAATCCATCATTTCTTCATAAGGCAGCGTTTGTTTTGTTTGTTCTTCCTCGACCCCTCCACATGATCCATTTCTCATCAATCTTTCGTAAAAACCAAACTTCAAAACGTGGCGCAGACGTTTCATTTTCATAATTTTTACCAATCCCTTTTCCCTTGGACTCAGTCCCCCCTCTTTTCTTCAATCCCAAATCCCGTCCTCTGGCGGCAGCACACTATTTTTCTCTCCCCAGGATTCAAAAACCCACCAAGAAAATTAAAATGAAATAGCCTACGCGCTTTGTTTTTCTTCTTTTGGACTTTCTTTTGTGGTTGGTTTGCCTTAGCTTTCTGGGTTTTCATCCACTTGCTGTTTTAATCAATACCCATTTTTCTTCTGCTCGATTTGGAGCTTTGGAACTCAGTTGGGTTTGCGTTGATTTTGGTTTTGAAATGGGTGAGGTTGAGAATCGGAATTTCCATCGGTTCAGGAACCGATTGCGGGTTTATGGGGTGGTGGTTGTGAGTTTGCTGTTTCAGAGTTTTCATTTGTGTTGGTCGCTGAATGAAGAAGGTAATTGATCTGCGTGAATTCTTCGGAGGCTTTAGTTTAAGGTTTTTAATCTTCTGTTCTGATGAAATCAGAGGTGATATTTGAAGGGGTTTTTGAATTGCTCTGTTCTATTTTGTAGGTTTGACTCTTCTCAAGTTCAGAGAGAGAGTCGTGAATGATCCGTTTGGCGCTTTATCTAACTGGAATGATCACAAAGAAGATATTAATCCATGTTTTTGGTTAGGAGTTGAATGCTCAGATGGGAAAGTTGTAGCCCTGTATGTTCTTCACTTTTTTCATCTTTCTTTCTCCTGTTTCTGATCTTAATATGATGATGGTTTCCTAAACGTAATTTGGGTGGTCAAATTTGTGTTAGTTTGCATTAATTTCCCTCTGAAAATGATCTTGAAGTGGGATTGTATGATATGCAGGAATTTGAAAGATCTTTGTCTTGAAGGAACACTTGCTCCTGAGCTTAAGAACTTAGTCCATTTAAAATCTATGTAAGAACTTAGTTCTTTGATCTCAATTTGTGATTTGTTTTGTTTGTTTTCGTTGTATCTGCAACAGTGGACTGACATTTTACCTTCGATTTCTGTCTCGTTTTGCAGTATTTTGCGAAACAATTCTTTTACTGGAACCATCCCTGAAGGAATAGGAGGGCTTGAAGAACTGGAGGTGCTAGATTTAGGGTACAACGACTTCTGTGGAGCACTTCCAGCTGATCTTGGCAGTAATCTCTCACTTGGAATTCTGTATGTTTGGCTTCAAATTCAACAAATTGAGAGTTATCTTCTCTCTTAACTCTTTTTTCAGCCTATTTCTTCATAATAACTTAGTTTTCTTTTTACAAATATGCAGTTTGCTGGATAACAATAAGCATCTTGGTGGTTTATCTCCTGAAATTTATCAGCTTCAATTACTTTCTGAGTTTCAAATTGATGAGAACCAGCTATCTAATACAGCTCAAGGATCATTAGGAAACAAAGAATCCGTTTCATGGTATGTCACTGCAATCCATTAGATCACCGGTTTATCGTAGGATAAATCTCGTGCATGTTTCGGTTTAGTTTAGAAGGTTTTCTTTGTTTGCTTTGTGAGAAACTAGAAGAAAAATGCCACGACTGGATGTTATTTGCAGATTACTGAAATGAAGACTACTTTTGTCTGCAAGATAAATGGATAACTTCCTTCGAAAATGCCTACTTTTCGAAATGAAATCCGTCTTTCTACCATTTTTATGCTTGTTCCTGACGTTGTTTATGCTTCGACAAACCACTTAATTTGGTTACAAATTTTCTCTTGCTAGTGATGCTGTTCAAATAAAAGAAACTAGTGCAAGAAGACAGCTCCGGGGGCCAGCTACTCTTGCACGGTCGATAAATCAGCCTGAAGCTACACAATCTCCGGGCATTTCACTAACACCTCCATCTCTAGCTCCGCCACCACCTAATAATACTGCCGTAGTTATCGCCCCAAAAGGGAATGAGACAGACAACGGAACTATTTCAGTTCCTTCACCTCCTCAATTTTCTCCTCCACCTCCTCAGTTCGCTCTACCTCCCCCTCCTCCTTCAGAGACATCTCCGCCAGCTGAATCCAATAAATCAACTTCGGGGAAGGGGCCCAACGTTGGTGTAGTTGCAGGAGTAAGTATAGGGGCTGCAATATTTGTTATTGCATTGGTCGTTGGCATTTACCTCTGGACTAGCCATAAGGCCACTGTCAGACCGTGGGCGACAGGATTAAGCGGACAGCTTCAGAAAGCATTTGTTACCGGTACTCTTCATTCTGAAAATAGAACGAAAAACGTTGCTTTCTGATTGCATCTACTGATTTGAAACTGATTAGCTAGCTTTGGATGATGCATCTTGTCAATTGAAAATAGAAAGCATCTTTCAATCTCTTAAGAATCCCAGATAAACAAGCTCTTATGTATATGTTTTTACCAAAAGTTTGTTGTAATATGAATCATGGCAACAACTCATCCCCTTTTAATGGGTTTTCTTAGATAGTTTAAGATATACAAGTAGGGAAGCAAAGCATCTTCTTGTTACTAACTGGTTTAAGTTTCTCAGGTGTGCCAAAGCTGAAAAGATCAGAGCTTGAAGTATCTTGTGAGGATTTCAGTAATGTAATCGGTTATTCACCTATCGGCCCGGTCTATAAAGGGACTTTGTCTAGCGGAGTTGAAATAGCCGTGAACATCATTTCGGTGAAGTCTTCTAAAGATTGGTCGATGGCGTTGGAAACTCAGTTCAGAAAAAAGGTAGATGATATATAAATTCCATTGAACCACATTTACTCTTCATCAAGATTTGATGTTTCTAACATTTCCTATTGTCGTGCTGCAGATCGATACACTATCGAAACTAAATCACAAGAACTTTGTCAACCTGATTGGGTATTGCGAGGAAGAGGAGCCCTTTAGTAGAATGATGGTTTTCGAATATGCTCCTAACGGAACGTTGTTTGAACATCTGCACGGTAAGTTTCGGGCGGTTATGACTTTATGCTTTATTCATCTGACATCAATTTTTTATCTGAGAACAAGATAGTTAAGACTGAACTGTCATGGGTCAATAACTTAACATCTAACTACCGTATTTGGACCGTATTACCGTGTGGCGACATCAATTTTGTATCTGAGAACAAGATAGTTAAGACTGAACTGTCATGGGTCAATAACTTAACATCTAACTACCGTATTTGGAACGTATTACCGTGTGGCGACATCAATTTTTTATCTGAGAACAAGATAGTTAAGACTGAACTGTCATGGGTCAATAACTTAACATCTAACTACCGTATTTGGACCGTATTACCGTGTGGCGATAAATCATGCAACTTGCTATAATCAGCTTGATGTTCTTCACATTCAAATGACTATGCTATGTGGTGAAGTTAATTTTAGAGTGGAAAAACCAAGTTGAATTCTCTGTTTCGAACTTGCATTTGGCTCAATGAATGTTATAATTACTTACTATTATTGCTGCAGTTTTCGGGTTGAGGTAACTATGTTGTCGATCTTAGAATGCTAAATATGCTACATTTATGGATAAGCACAATATGGGAATTTTCTATGTTCTTTTTCCTTCCTTTTGAGGATGGTATAGATGTTCTTTCTGCGACGTTTGTGATTCACGACCGTTGATGTCGATTTCTGTTTGAGCGTTTGACTTAGCTACTATAGTTTTCTTAGAAATTTGATTTAGTCTTTTTTTTCTCTTTTGCTGTGCAGATGAAGAATTTGAGCACTTGAACTGGAGGATGCGACTTAGAATAGCGATGGGCATGGCTTACTGCCTTGAATATTTACACGAGCCGAACACACCGCTGATCCAACTCAACCTTACTTCGTCAGCCATCAACCTGACTGAGGATTATGCAGCAAAGGTTGCAGAGTGCAGTTTGCAAAACGAAATCGTTGCAGACGAGTGGACCTGCGCCAGCAGATATCTCTTAAACACATCATCAGGAGGCCCAGAGAGCCAAATCTACAGCTTTGGATTAGTATTATTGGAACTAATGACAGGTAAGATCCCTCATTCAGCAGAAAATGGATCACTTGAAGAATGGGCAATACAGTACTTGAGATTGGACAAACCGCTCAAGGAGCTTGTCGACCCGACACTCGCATCGTTCCAAGAGGAGCAGTTGGAGCAGATCGGTCAGTTGCTAAGATCTTGCTTACATTCCAATCCAGTGCAGAGACCAGCAATGAAGCTCATCACTGCAAGATTGAGATCAGTAACTGGGATAACCCCGGATGAAGCGATCCCGAAACTTTCCCCTCTTTGGTGGGCTGAGCTCGAGATTGCGTCGGAGGCACGATAAACGTGAAGACTGGGTTGTTGTAAGTATGAGCCAGAAATTCCCAGTATATTGTCTAGTTTCCTGCTGGATGATACTGTAGATATCATCACTTTAGAAGTTTTGCTTGTATATAAGTGAGGTAGGTAAAATATATATATACACACATGTAAGATTTAGGCTATTTTTTTTCCTTCTTTTTCTTTTTAATGTGAAAAACTATTTTTACGAAATATTACGAGTGCACAATGAAGTGTACATGAAAAGGAATGTTGATGTTATACCAATGAAAGATTCAAAATTTTCTTTGAAACTTTGGCTTTGATTTTTAAATGAATGAATTTGAGAGATCATTAAGAAGAGGGCTTTTTTTTTCTTTTTATTCTGAGTTCAAGTGAGGTGGAAATTCAAATCTCCTACCTCTATCTTAAATCAATTGAGTTATGGTTCGCCTTGTTAATAGAAGATAACCAATTGAAACAGAAAAAGTGAATCTTCTTATGGTTTTTTTAGTATTTATATTTGCTAAATTTCATTTTTTAAGGGTCTAAATTATTCTTGGGGACCTAATTTTAGATGGGGAGTGGGTATTTTATGAATGGACGGAAATGTTGACGCAGTGAAAATATTATCAATTTTTTCCTAGAAATTTGTTGAAATTTCAAGCTTTCTTCTCTGGATAATATTTTTTCTTTTAAATTTTCACTAATTCACTGTTTCTTTTGACAAGTGGGTGGAGGGATTAGAACTTTTCTGGGTCAGAAACCAATAATAATTATCGTTGAACTCAGTTATGTTAGTGAAAGAGATCAGCCAATTTTAACATGCACCACAACTCGTGGTAGACCAACTCAATTGAAAAAACACGGACTAAAACATATATTTAATTTAGCGTATTTTCCATTAGTTTTGAAACAATTTAAAATCTCATCTATATATATTAAAAAATTTTGCCTTAGAGTTAGAGAGAGCATAATGATCGTCTTCAAAGTTGAAACAAACTGAAAAAAGGGTGGGTTTCACGTACCATAAATAAAATTATAAAAAAGAATTATTTCCGCCATTAACATAATTAATAATATCCTTAGTCGCTCCCACGTCTTCAAATTCAACCCACCATGAACAAACCAATATAAATTCATCCCCTTCGTCTCCATCTCTAAATTAAATCCATTTTACAAATTTAAAAAAAAAATGACTGCCAGAAATCTCCTCTCCCTCCTCGTGCTACTCCTGTGCGTCTTCGCCGGCGCCGCCGCGGACCCGACCCGACACGCCCACAAACCTGTGGAAATCGTGGTCGAAGGCGTGGTGTTCTGCCAGAACTGCCGGAGAATCGGAAGCTGGTCGCTGACCGACGGGAAGGTGATCGCCGGCGCCAAAGTGAGCGTGATCTGCAAGAACCTCCACAACCAAGTCAACTTCTACAAGGTCTACCAAACCGACGCCAAGGGGTACGCATTTTAATTTCGTAAAATTAGCGTTTAGATTTATTTTTTATCTGAAAACAAAAATATGAAAACCAACCATGAAAAAATAGTGTGTTTTTTTAGTATTTTCCTTTACTATATGTTTGGTAATAGATTTATAAAAAAAATATTTATATATTGTAAACAAGTGGTAATTTACTGCCAACTAAATATTTTATTTCATCTGAGTGTTATTAATTAATTATTTAAGATATATGTTATTAATTTTGTAATTAATATATTTTACAATATTATATAATTTATTGTATATTAGGATATACCTGTTTTAATTTTATTAGAAATTAAATGTGTTTGTAGTATAAAATAATATATTAATTAAAACTTTTTCTTTTATTTTATTTTATTTTATTTATCCATTTTAAGTTTCAAATCTAAAAATTCCATTATTTCGGTAGTATAATTCAAATTAGTAAATTTAAAAACAATAAAAAGATTTATATTTGAATTTTTTTTATTTACGATTTTTTTTTAAATTTATTAGACACAAAATTAAAAGTCTAACAATTTATTAGTACAAAATTGAAAGTTTAGATATTTAATAGACACTTTTTAATTCAAAAATATATTAAACACAACCGTACTTTGTATAGATATTAAATATAAGGAAAAGAACGTAGATGAAATACTAAAAAAAATGTCATTAAGAAGCTTATATTAATGAGAATTTTTATCTTACTTAAAAATAGGTGGATTAGAGCTTGCTTATTAATTTATTGTTATAATTCTTAACATTGAGACATTTTCATTTTTTCGATATTAATATTTAAAACTCATTTTATTTAGGTTCTCATCACCATCAAATATTTAACAAATTATATTAAAAAGTTAGCTCCGACATAGAACTTCATACTACTCATACTATATTGAACTTAATAACTTAATAAATTACGATAAATTTAATCTTTTATCTATACTTTTTAACAGGTATTTTTATGCCGAGTTGGTGGGGTACAAGATGACCCATCCGGTGCTCGACCACCCGTTGCAAACCTGTAAGGTGAAACTGGTTTCGTCCCCACTGCCCGAATGCGACCGCTTGACAAATGTCAACTATGGCCTCGCCGGTGCGCCGCTCCGATATGAGAACAAGATTGTCGCCGGAAAGAACTATAGGGCGACGGTGTACGCGGCGGGGCCACTGGCATTCCACCCGGAGAAATGCTTTTAACTTCTTCCTCTCTTTTAAGTGTTTGTGTTTCTTTTTTTTAACCTTTCCTGGATTAATGTGTTGGGTTTTAATTTTGGTCTTTGTTTTGTGGAAAAATGTAGTGTAATTTTATGTGTTTTTGAGCTCGGGTTTTGGGAATGAGAACGAGAATGAGAATCAAAATCAATGATAATTAAATTTCAAATTGTATCACCTTAAACGTTAAAATTTTTATTTTGGTATTTGAAATTTCAAGAATTTTCTATTTTGATTTTGCTCTTATTTTGTTACCTAATATCAACTCACCTAATATTTATTTTAGTTAACCTATCTGACTCTAATAACATATATATTATTGTCAAGAAAAATGTAGCGTAATTTTATGTGTTTTTTAGCTCGATTTTTTAGAATAAGAATGAGAATGAAAAGGAATCAAAACGAAGGATTAATTTCAACTTGTATCACCTTAAAAGTTAAACTTTTATCTTGGTATTTGAAAATTTCAAGGATTTTCTATTTTGACCATTGCTGTTATTTTGTTACCTAATATCCGCTCACGTAATATTTATTTTAGTCAACTTATGTGGCTCTAACAATACATATATTACCTTCAATGTAAGTATAACTGAACTGCTTAAACAATATATCATAATTAAAAGTTCTAATCTTCACCCTACATATTCTTTAATTTAGAAAAAAAAACATATATTAATTAGTTATTACATATCATCTAAACCACCTTATCCATTCGTTAAATGATTGATATGGGTCAAAATAGATGATATAATGTTTTAATTTTATTTCAACTTGTTCGATTTAACATATCTCTTCTCAATTTCGATGCATACGTGATACATAATATCATATATCATATTAACGTTGATCTAAAATCTTTGTATACTTAATAATTGATGATATATGGAGATGATAATACGACATATTATACAATCACTCATTTAGGAATTTAAAAAAGATAGGATTGAAAAAGTTAAAAAGAAGCAAAGAAGTTCGAGGAAAAAACTTGCTAAAATTCTGAGATTTTAGAAGTATAGATGTCAGACGACAAGAAAATATTTAATGTCACAATTTTGCTAAATATTTTACTAGTACTGTGAGGGACTAAAGTATTTTTTTTTTTAGGAAATAAGAAGAAAACAACTTAACATAAAATAAATTCCGAAAGAATTAAATTGTCCAGCCACGAGGGAGTTTGACAACTCCACTCTTCACTCAAATCGTTTTCCATCGCTTGTCTGGCTAAACCATGGGCCACCTTATTTGCTCGAGATGTCTCATTGAAACTATTTCTATATCTTCCATCATCTGCTAAATTTATTTTAAAAGTCAAATAATTTCAGTTTGATCTTGACACTGTCTGTGAAGTAGATGAATCGCTTCGAGGGACTAAAGTAAAAATTTTAAACTTTATGCTTTCAAAAAAAAATTAAACTTTATGGAGAGTAAACTTTTGGGAGATCAAAAAAGATATTTAATGTCAAATTTTCCTTAGTCCTAATTTCCATTTTATTATTTTTTTTTTATCTTTAAAAATTTAAGTTTAGAAATAGTACTTTCACTGCTACATTTCTTTAATTTGTTATCTACTTTTTAAATCTATTTTCAAATTTAACTTTGAAAACTAAAAAAATGGGTTTTTAGAAATATATTTTTAATTTTGGTTAACAATCTGTTTAATATATATACACACACACCAAAAAACATGGTAAAAATTTGAGCATAATTTAAGGAAAAAAAAAACCAAAAAGGAAAAATTTAGGATTTGAAATTCGAAAATGAATCGAAATGAGTAATTATTTGACATGGTCATATAACATGAGAATATGCTCGTTGAATCAAATAAGGGCAGATTAGGGAAAAAAAAAGAGAGAGAATACATTTTAAACTAGAACTTTTACTAAATCACAGGCTTCTAATAAAAAACGAGCAATTCTAGTAAGATTTATAATATTAATATCTTTACGTTTAGCAAAGATATAAGGTGCTATTCTACGATTCCATTTCTTAGTACACGACCAAATGAACTCCTACTTCTATCATCTCTTCCAAATGGACGTTCTAATATCTTCTTGTCATTTATATATCAGTGTCATGTTATATTATCATAATATCACTAGCTCCCTTGTGTCACGCTAATAGAGTTAATTACTCCGATAGTGACCACTAATCACAAGATCGAAAGTTCATAGATCTTGAATACTTTAGAGTTAATAGTTCTAACAATTAATCACAAAATTGAAAATATAAATTGAGTAGTTCAAAATAATTTAAACACCATTGAAAAAAATATATAGATGAATGGACTTTGTGGGTGGTGTTGAGAGTTGGATACAAAATAAAAAGAAAAAAAGGGTGAAATCTATTGGGCCATGAAAAGGGCCCAACCTTTTCTTTCTTGCCTTGTTATCGTCTTAAAACACATATTATATATGTTGCTAACATATTTTTTGTGTTGAGGCCGTGAATAAAAGTGAGAAGCCGTTGGTTCAAGATTCTTGGCTGCAGAGGGACACATCAAGATCATCGTATTCGAGATATTGTATTTTGATTTTCATGTATGTACCTAAGTATTATGATTTTTGTTGAGATATCTCGGGGATATTTTTGAAAAGAGTTTATTGTAATCTAATTCTTGACAATATTAATGAATTACACATCTGAGTGGAAAACTAGACTTAGCCCTTAGTCAGTGAACCACTATAATTTCTATGTCGTATAATTGTTTCCCAACAGGTAGTGCTGGAGCCTCTTCTATCTTCTCTGCCAATGTCCTTGGATTTGCAATGCCTCGGTTAGCAGTACAGACTCAACCCTCCTGACTTGAGTGTCTTGTGCCTCTGTTTTTTCTATTGTTTCGACTCTAGTCCTAACAAATACGACCATCAAAATTCAAGGAATAAACTTATAATGTAATATTTTTTGCTATTCAGTTTATGTGGCGTGTGATATAACTTTATTGATATTATGTCCCATGGTCATGATTCCCTATACTGTGGAAAAGAATAATTAAGCTGTTAATTTCAATTATCCCAAATTATGTCACATAATATTCAAAGCAAAAAGGAAAAATAAAATAGAAAAGGAAATGTAAAAATCAATATATTTTTCTATTCCCTCGTCCTTAGCGGGATGGCTTTAACAACGTGGCGCACCAAAATGATGCCCACGAGTATATTGTGTTACGTTTTCTTTAATTAACAAATCAATTAGGTTCCCCCAATTTCCCTTTAACAGATTATTCTTGTTTATGATTTTTGTGATTTTCTTTTCAAACATACTTTAAATCTTAACCATACTTTCGTTCCTACAATTGGGTTTATATGATTTCAAAGATTGATATTTTAATGTCTTAAAAAAAATAAATATTTTAATTTTTTCATGAAATATTTTATTTTCATTCATCAATTAGTTCATGATACGAAGAGGTATTAAAATATATTTTTGCCTCAAAAACATAGGGATCAAATGTAAACTAAGTGAATATTAAAAAGATATATATATTTAATATATGACAGATTATAGATAAGATTTTGTTAAATAGATTACGATGGCATCTAAACGTCCACGTCATGCCACCCAAAGTTAGGACAGTGTTTAAAAAAATCGTATTTGAAGAAGGGAAAAAAAAAAGCTTTTTTGTTTTAGTAATTAGGATCATGGAATCCACGTGGCGTTTTTCCGAGGGTAAATTAGGGAAACTTTGGGAGTAAGAATTTAAAAATAAATAAAAATATTAAGAAGAAAAGCGAGTCGAACATTTTTTTACAAAGTCAACGTCTGACACGTGTCACAATTTCTGCAGTTCACGTGGCAGGGTTTCTGATCAGAGATTCATACTTGTCAACGGCGGATGTGGGGAGCGCCACCATGGCCTTCACGGCGTCGGTTTGATTAAAAACCGGCAGTAAAATGCAGTACCGGTCGCAGCA